AAAAGCCCTCCCCCATATCCTTTCTGTCTAACTGAGATTTTGCACCCTTTAACCATCACTGCCTCATTTGTGTATCTCTTTAATAACAAATTTCTTTCGGATGTGTCTCTTGTAAACAACATATGCTTCTATCTGATTTTTAATAAGAAAATTTAAATAACTCATTTTTATTGTTATAACAAGTATATATGTACATGTGGGGGGAATATATATATATATATAGTTTTTTTTTTTTGAGACAAGGCCTCACCCCGTTACCTAGGTTGGTGTGCAGTGGTGTGATCTCGGTTCACGGCAGCCTTGACCTCTTGAGCTGAGGTGATTCTCCCACCTCTGCATACTGAGTAGCTGGGACTACAGGCATGGGTCACCACCCCTGGCCAAATTTTTTGTTTTTGTAGACATGAGATTTTGCCATGTCGCTAGAGACTGATGTTGACTCCTGGGCTCAAATGATCTGACCACCTCAGCCTCCCAAAGTGCTGGGATTACAGGTGTGAGCCACCGTGCCCGGCCCAACTTGTCATTTTAACAGCATCTAAGTTTTTTGAACATATTTCTAGTACTTACTTTAAAATCCTTGCTAAATCCAACATCAGGGCTCACTCACAGAGTCCATTTCTATTGACTGTGTTTTTCTTTTTTCAGGTATGGGTTACATGTCCCTGTTTATTTTCATATCTCATACTTTTTGGTCAAAAACTAGACATTTTAAATATTATAATGCAGTAGCTCTGGATTCCATTTATTTTTATTTATTTTTTTGAGACAAGGTTTCACTTTGTTGCCCAGGCTGGAGTGCAATGGCGTGATCTCAGCTCACTGCAACCTCCACCTCCTGGGTTCAAGCAATTCTCCTGCCTCAGCCTCCCAAGTAGCTGGGACTACAGGTGTGTGCCACCACGCCCAGCAAATTTTTTTGTATTTTTAGTAGAGATGGAGTTTTCCTATGTTGGCCAGGCTGGTCTTGATCTCCTGACCTCAAGTGATCCATACGTCTCAAGCCTCCCAAAGTGTTGGGATTATAGGCATGAGCCACTGTGCCTGGCCGGGATTCCATTTATTTTTCTGAGGTTTTTTTTTTTTTCCTTGCCTGGACTTACACTGTGGGATGTCTCCCTGTGGTATGCGTCTGCTGATCGCTTTGCTCAGAATTTTGATCTTTCAGCCTGCCTTCCCGGGAATCATCCTTGAGTCTGCATTGCCTAATGGTCAGCCAATAATTTGGGCGAAGTTTGTGCCCAAATGCCTTGGCCCTACTAAGCCTTCTTTCCTCTGCTGCTCTGTGTGTGTGTGGATTTGGGAGTGCATCCGAAGCCAAGTGTCCCTCAGCCTCCACTCGATGCTGGGCGGGTTCAGGCCCGCCCTGTGCAGGCTCATAGTTCCCCAGTCAGCCCAGTGTTTGTGGTAAGCTTGCTTCAGCCTTTCCAGTGCTCTGTTATTTCTAGGATCTCCCTGTGAAATTTCCTTCTTTTTTTTTTTTTTTTTTTTTTGGAGATGGAGCCTTGTTCTGTTGCCCAGGTTGGAGTGCAGTGGCCCGATCTCGGCTCACTGCAACCTCCACCTCCCAGGTTCAAGCGATTCTCCTGCCTCAGCCTCCCAAGTAGCTGGGATTACAGGCGCATGCCACCATGCCCAGTTAATTTTTGTATTTTTGTAGTAGAGACAGGGGTTCACCATGTTGGCCAGGCTGGTCTCGAACTCCTGACCCTGTGATTCGCTCACCTCAGCCTCCCAAAGTGCTGGGATTACAGGCGTGAGCCACTGTGCCCGGCCATGAAATTCCTGACTGGTTTGCTGCTTGCCCCAACTTGGAATCCAAAGTTGAGTTTATGAAACTGGGTTTTTCCAATTTGTACCCTACTGAATTCATCACTTTTAGTTGGGAAAACTGCAGATTTTTTCCTTCGTCCCAAGTCAGCCCCCTCTGGCTACCATAACTGTTCTTGCTGATCCAGCTTGGGGAGGATAGAGCATCCCTAGACAAGAAGACCACAGACCTTTACTACTCTTGCCAAAAGCTCTGCAGCTTTCCAATAATGGAAGCTTCTCAACTCACTGTCTGTCTTTGGTTGATGCCCACTGGCCCCCAAAGGTGGTTGATGTTTGACAGTTTCATCCATTTCATACTTGTTTTTTTGTGGAGAGAATTCACCAACCTTTTCATGCCAACACAGCCAGAAGTACCTCAGGTGAAGGTTAAAAACCAGATGACTGGTGACTGGACAATGTCAACACACATGGAAAAGGCCAGGTGAGGTGGCTCACGCCTGTAATCCCAGCACTTTGGGAGACTGAGGCAGGCGGATCATGAGGTCAGGAGATCAAGACTATCCTGGCTAACATGGTGAAACCCCATCTCTACTAAAAAATACAAAAAATGAGCCGGGTGTGGTGGTGGGCGCCTGTAGTCCCAGCTACTCGGGAGGCTGAGGCAGAAGAATGGCATGAACCCAGGAGGCGGAGCTTGCAGTGAGCTGAGATAGCACCACTGCACTCCAGCCTGGGCGACACAGCGAGACTCCGTCTCAAAAAAAAAAAGAAAAAGAAAAAGAAAAAAAAAAGCTACAGACCTTGCTCACAATTTGCCCACAAGAAAATTCCTTGAGGACAAAGGACAGATAGAACTCAAAGTCATCCCTCTGCTCACCTGAGACCAAGGCAGATCTGACGGCTTCCTCTGCCCTACTGTTTCACTGAGCCAGACCAAGGCATAAGTAACTCTTCCTGTCAATTGTGTATTCAGTGAAAGGCTAATCAGAAACTCAAAAGAATGCAACCATTCATCTCTTATGTACCTATGACCTGAAAGGCCCCTCCCCGCTTCGAGCTGTTCTGCCTTTCGGGACCAAACCAGTGTACAGATTTACATATATTGATTGATGTCTCAAGACTCCCTAAGATATATAAAACCAAGCCGTGCCCTGACCCCCTTGGGCAGACGTTGTCAGGACCTCCTGAGGCTGTGTCATGAGTGCGCGTCCTCAACTTTGGCAAAACAAACTTTCTAAATTAACTGAGACTTATCTCAGATACTTTTTGGTTTACAGCTGGTATCCTATAAAATCAAGGTGGTCTGGGAAATGTAGCATTTAGCCTTCTAGCTTCCACGCTACAAGGTGGTGGAACTGGATGCTGAATGCCATAGAGAGTATCTAGCACAGACATGTAGATAAATTATCTTCTGGTCTTTGGTGATAACAACAGAATCTGTTTTATTTTTATTTCTTTTTTATTTTTAAATTTTTTTTTTCTTTTGAGATGGAGTCTTGTTTTGTCACCCAGGCTGGAGTGCAGTGGTGTAGCTCAGTTCACTGCTTCACTTCCTGGGTTCAAGCAATTCTTCTGTCTCAGCCTCCCAAGTAGCTGGGACTAAGGTGCATGCCACCGCACCTGGCTAATTTTTGTATTTTTAGTAGAGACGGGATTTTGCCATATTGGCCAGGCTGGTCTCGAACTCCTGACCTCAGGTGATCCATCCACCTCAGCCTTCCAAAGTGCTGGGATTACAGGTGTGAGCCACTGCTCCCAGCCAGGATCTACTTTAGCTCCAAACCCATCTTGAATTTCTTTATGTCCCCAGCCCAGATGAAGCAGGGGAAATCACTGGTGAATATTCGCATTAGTCAGGGTTCTCCCCTTTGTCTATATCACTGCCTCTCCTTTGGTCCTGTTTATGTAAAGAGATCTATTATTAGGCATTGATTCACGTGATTATGGATATTGGAAAGTCCCGTGATTTGCAATGGGCAAAGCTGGAGACCAAGAAGAGCCGATGACGGAATTCCAGCCTGAATCCAAAGGCCTGAGAACCAGGACAGCCCATGGTGTAAGTTCTAGTCTGAAAGCTGGCAGTCTCGGGACACAGGAGAGTCAATGTCAGGTCAGGTCCAGTCCGAAGGCAGGACAAAGCTGTTGCCCCAGCTTGAAGACGGTCAGGGAGCAGAAATTCATTCTTGCTAGGAGGGTCAGCCTTTGTTCTGTGCAGGCCTTCAACTGATTGGATGAGGCCCCCCTCCACATTCGGGAGGACAAACTGCTTTATTCTGTCTACTGATTTAAATGTTAATCTCGGCCCGGCGCGGCGGCTCATGCCTGTAATCCCAGCACTTTGGGAGGCCTAGGTGGGAAGATCACCTGAGGTCAGGAGTTCCAAACCAGCCTGGCCAACATGATGAAACCCTGTCTCTACGAAAAACACACAGAAAAATTAGCCGGGCGTGGTGCCACACACCTGTAATCCCAGCTACTCAGGAGGCTGAGGCAGGAGGATCACTTGAGCCCAGGAGGTCGAGGCTGCTGTGAACCAGGATCGCACCATTGCACTCCAGCCTGGGTGACAGAGCAAGACTCTGTCATAAATAAATAAATAAATAAATGTTAATCTCATCCAAAACACCCTCACAGAAACACTCTGACTAACGTTTGATCAAATATCTGGGCATCCTGTGGCCCAATCCGGTTGACACATAAAATTAACCATCACAGCATTTGTGAAATGTCTGACGTTTTATGACTGGTGCTTTGAGATGTTCTAGATCTGGCAGACAGAATTCCTGATAAACAAACAACACCTTATAGCTAAGCATGATGTTAGACTCTGACGTTCTGACCAACGTTCACATCAAGGAGAGAAAAGAACATGGGCACTTCATGAAGAGGAGGAGGGGGCATGACGGGAGCCTCGTCCCTCTGCTCCTCCTTCTCACTCCCCTCCCCCAGCCTGGTGACTCTGGCTTTTACCTGCAGCCCCATACCTGTCTCACTGAGTGATTGTCGTGGCTTTAGAGCCAGAGTTCCTGAGTGCCTGAGCCTATCCAGCTATATCAAAAGCCACTCTTGCTGCTGGCTTCCAGCTCTAGTTAGTTGCTCAGACCCCTTCCCAAACCTCACGTCTTGTGGCCTTTTTGCTCCCTGGCCTTCCAGGCTGGGTCCTGCCTTCACATGGACCTAATTCCCTGCTGCCTGGACCCACACCTCATGCCTTTAGGGATCTCCAGATGACCCCTGGCTCACGTCACTGTAACTGCCAATCATCTTCTCATTTGAATCAGACCCTGCCTGGTGGCACCCAAGAATCTGCCCAGTCTCCTAGGGACAGGTCTCCAGTCCTGGAGGGAAAGGTGCTAGGTATCTGGGGCTCAGCCTGCTTCAAGCTGGAGGTGAGGGGGGCGTGGCAGCATCCAAGAGCCACCTGGGAAGTGGCCACTGACATCTGGGCTCAGGCTATAGGCCCCCTCTTTTGATTTTCAAATTCAGTCTCCCATTTTTCCTTGTCATTTTTTGTTTTGCCAGCTTTCAGTGGCAGCAGCCCCTCCCCCTGGGGCTCAGAGCTGGAGTGGGAGTTTGAAGTGGTTTCTGCAAAATATTTTGGAGGAGAATGATCTGCCTTTAGTAGTCAAGGACTCTTCTTGCAACACTCAGGCTCCGTTTTACGGACAGAAGGAGTCCAGGAGGCTCTCTGAGCCGCACGAGGGCCTTTGCAACCTTTCCAGGCTCCGGCTGAGAGCAGCCATTTTGGAACATGTGAAACGGATTTCAAATTCCCTTTTTGCAGTTCGAGAAGATGGCGGCCTGAGCCGGAGTCCTCCTTCCCCTCCTCCCTCTCCGCTGCTGCAATGCCCAGGCCCCCCCACTTTCCTCGTCTGTAATGGTGCCAGAGGCTTTAAATCTTGCAGAAGCCACATCTGCTGCCTGCAGGTAAACCTCCCTGGCTGAGCCCACTGCGCACGCCTCCACGTTCTGGAGCCAGAAACAATGAGAAGCACATTTCCAGCAGCATCTCTCCTCCCGGTCATTTGCATAGCACAACCTCTCCCTCCACCCCCTCCTGTCTCCCACGTGGATCTTCATGTAATTAATTAATATCACATTCATCAGAGCTTAATTCATGTTCTTGTAATATACAAGGATTAAAAAAAAAATCCTACCAAGAGAGCAGTAATAGGCTCCGGCTTTTCTGGTCTGGGAGCAAATATAATGAGCCCCCATGAAAATATTGAATCGCTTCCCGCAGTCTCCACACCTCAGGGCACTGGCATGTTTACCGTGGCAAGCTACCCCTCTGTTCAGAAACACTACGGTCTCCTTTCCTGCGGGGGTAGCCATGCTGGGGCCACGCTGGAGCCCCTCCCAGGGGTGCACTCAGCAAGGCAGAGGCTCGGAGCCCTTCCTGGGAGTACATTCGGCAGTGGCAGAGGCTCAGCAGATGCTGGGGTTCTGGGTGGGTGAGAGCTGAGGGTTGAGCTTCCTGCAGAATGCCAAGAGTGGCATTGCAAGTTGCTCCTTCCCTCCCAGAGCCCATTTATTCTTAAACCACCCTCTCCCCTCCGCTACAGTGTGATGGCTCCTCCATGCTAATCGCCCTGTAGAACAAGGAGAAAAGGAAAGGTGGGCCCTTCACGGTATATATTTTGCTCTTTGGAACGACATGAACTCAGTGTAACGACCAGGCTGTTGTGGGGGCTGGGTTGTTTCTGGACAGAAAGTCCCGTCTGTGTCCAGGGGGCCGCGTCTGAGTACCGGCCATTCACACTGGCATGCTCTGTTTTGCTCGGACCCGGGACATGGCACGTGGGCTGTGTGAGCCCTCTTGGGGGCTGGAAACCCAAGGGGCCAACCAAGGGTTCTTGTTTCAACCAAACCTCCCCCTTGCCATCCTCCATGCAGAACGCGTCCCTGGGGCCCTCACCCTGTCGTGAAAAAGCATGACCATTTTGTAAAGGGAAGATCAAAGAGCCAGAAGTCGCAGATGTGTGTGTGGCAGGGGGGACCCAGAGTGACAGTGGCCATGCAGTGTGTCCCGTGGTCGCCCCAGAGGCGGATGGGCCAGGCCGCTGCACAAACCGTGGGAGGAGGCAGGCGGGGAGGGAACCCGAGGACCCTACCTGTGTTCACCCCTCTGTTCCTCTCTGGGACCCATTATGGCTGAAGGTGACTTTTTCCTCCTTCCCCCAACCCCTCCCCTCCTCCCCTTCCCTCCCCCTGCTTTTTAATTTCTTCCCTTTTGCAAGGCTTTCTGTTCAGCTGGGGCTGGGAAGGAGCTGCCCCCGACCCCCTCTCGTGGTCGCCGGGGTAGGGGTGGGAGGAATCTGGAAACCACGTGCGATGCTCGGGGCTGCGCCCTCCTTCCCGGCGCGTGGGTCCGCGAGCGCCGCGCAGCCTCCAGAGCTGCTGCTTCCCCCGCTCCTCCTTCTCCCCCGCTCCTCCTTCTCCCCCTCCGCGCCTTCCCCTCGCGATCCCCCTCCTGCCTCTTGGGTCCTGGAAGCGTCCCAAGATGGGGTGGGGGGCACGGAGGGAGAGAGAGGAGGAGGGAGCTGGCCGGAGGCAGGGCCGCCAGGAAGTGGGACGGGGACTCTGGCGCCGCTCCAGGCTGCTGCGCGCGGACTGGGGACCGTGCACCGCTTTGCGCGCCAGACGCTGCATTTCTGGAACGGCAGCTGAGGCAATGCGGGGTGCGAAGCGGCGGCGGCCAGAGGGGCTCGCAGGGGCTGGGATCCGCGTGCCACTCTCCTCCTGGGTGCGGAGTACGATGTGCCCCGGCGGGGGCGAGGACGTCCGGGAGGGGCTGGGCTGCGCACGCTCGCGTGGGCGTCGCAGACGGGCGGTTTGGAGGCGCCGCAGTCGCTGGGAAATGGGAGCCTCCGTCCTGTTCTCTCTGCTGCTGAGCAGGGCTGGGCTGAGCTGGGCAGGAAAGCCAGGGTCCCCACCCCTCCCGTAGCAGGGCACGCCGCGCTGGCTGTTCCGGGGGCCCGGGAGGGCAGAGCTGTCAGGAGGTTTGCCTGGCATCATTAGGGGGGCTGTCTGTCTCTCTGTCCCCGGCTGGCGTGGCCCGGCAGGAGGCGAGGATGATATTTTCAGGAGAGCTGGTGATTTGACCTGACACCTGTCAGTCAGGTAAGCGCTGGCCTCCTGCCCCGCTGGGGAAGAGCCGGTTCTGCGCCCTGACCGGGCACGGGTCCCTCAGTGCTGAGGATGGCAGCTAATGAGCCCGCCGAGGGGCTGCCCACCGGGTGCACGGGCAGGAGCAGTGGGCACATCCCCTGCTTGCCAGACCCTGCGGAGGGGCTGCCCTCTCCCCCAGCGCCTTCTGCCCTCTCCTAGTGTCTCCCACACTGACCCTGGAAATCACGTTCTTGCTTCTCTTATCAGGATAGTCCTACATGTCTGGAACTTTCTGGGATGTTCCCTTTGCCTTGGAAGTGTTTATTTATTATTTTAAAATCACCTCTAGGGTATTTATCCTTCAAGATAAAGCCAGTACCTAGAACCAGGTGTCCTTCCTGCAGGGCTTTAGGCTCTGCCTGACTTGGGTTCTCAGGCAACCCTTTCCTTCCCTGTACAACCTGGGGTTTGACTTTTGCGGAAGTAAATCTGTTATGGTCTAAATTGTGGCCTCCTCAAATCCATATATTAAATCCAGAAGCCCCTGGCTGGGCACGGTGGCTCACGCCTGTAATCCAGGCACTTTGGGAGGCCGAGTTGGGCGATCACCTGAGGTCCGAATTTCGAGGCCAGCCTGGCCAACATGGTGAAACCCCGTCTCTACTAAAAATACAAAAATTAGCCGGTCGTGGTGGCGGGCACCTGTAATCCCAGCTACTCCAGAAGCTGAGGCTGAGAATCACTTGAACCCGGGAAGCGGAGTTTGTGGTGAGCTGAGATCCTGCCGTTGCACTCCAGCCTGGGCGACAAGAGCGAAACTCAAAATATAAAATAAAATAAAATAATCCCGAAGCCCCAGTATCTCAGGATATGACCGTATTTGGAGATAGAGCCTGTAGGAAGGTAATTAAAGTAAAATGAGGTCCTTAGGGTGGGCTGCAATCCAACAGGACTGATGTTCCTTATAGGAGGAGGAGATTAAGACACACACAGAGGGACGACCATGTGAGGACACAGGGAGGAGAGAACAACCTTCTATAACCACAGTCCCCAACCTTTTTGGCACCAGGGACTGGCTTTGTGGAAGGCAGTTTTTCCACGGACCCGGCTGGGGTGGGGGATGGTTTCCGGATGATTCCAGCGTTACATTGATTGTGTACTTTGTTTCTATTGTTATTACATTGTGATATATAATAAAATAATTATACACTTCACTGTAATGTAGAATCAGTGGGAGCCTGAGCTTGTTTTCCTGCAGCTAGACGGTCCCATCTGGGGGTGATGGGAGACGGTGACAGATCATCAGGTCTTGAATTCTCATAAGAATCACGCAACCTAGATCCCTCGCATGTGCAGTTCACAACACGGTTCATGCTCTTGTGCGAATCTAATGGTTCCTAATGGTCCACAGACCGGTACTGGTCCTCGGCCCAGGGGTTGAGGACCCCTGCTCTATAAGGCCGGGAGAGAGGCCTCAGAAGGAACAATCCTGCCGAGACACCTTGATCTCAGACTTCCAGCCTCCAGAACTGCGCGGAAATGCGTTCCTGTTGAAGGCACTCTGACCGCAGCGCCTTGCCGTGGCAGCCCTCAACAACGAATACAGAGTCTATTGAACAAAATGAATCCAAAATGTATGCCCAAAGATAGCTGCCAGGTCTATGAAAACACCTGCTATGATACGAGGGGATGTGGACGACAGATGTGGGTGCTGGAATTCAAGTTGGTTTCGTTAGTCATTCTCCTGCCCCACGTCCCTGCCCCCATAGCAGTTACATTTTCTTAAAGCATACTTGTTTAAAAAGGTATTTACACAATAGATCAACATTTAAGTACATGTTTAAAAGCAATTATGAGCGTGCTCACCTGTCATGGCAGGATGGTTTTGCTCATGGGTTTCCAGTTGGTTGGGTAGATAATCAGCTCAGGTGTTGTTTTAAGCCTACCCCCTACTGTAATTGTGTGTTTACTTTTATGATAATGTCACATCACTCTCATATTTACTGGCAGGGATTAAGTTATTCCAATAAAAGATAGAGAAATAAATTTCAGACCCTGTTTCCTGGCCATCCCCTCCCCTATCTTTCAAAAATTGGACAATTTTCCGAGATCACGGGAAGCAGTTTTGAGTGTTTGGAAGCCGTGGATGCCCCGGCCGATGGCAGCTTTTTTCAACTGTAACCCACTTGCCAATAAGGTCTCCCTGTGTGGGGTCAAAGGATGTGGCCCCTGCCATCCATGTGGTCACTAGGGAGGATACAGGCCTGTGTGCCGCACCCCAGCCTAACTGCTCCTGGGGGCCTGGGCAGTTGTGGTCACTAAGTCCTGACTCTGCCATGGCAGAGTCATCTTCTGGGCAGACACTGATGCTCAGTAGCCTCCAGGGGATTTGACGGGTCCCCTTGACACACTGGAGGCTCTCTGGCTAGAGTCCGCTCCCAGACACCCTCATTCCTGTGTCTCCAGGACTGGAGAGGCCTACTGGCCTTCTGGGAGGATGTTTCTGTTGTTGGGTCGATGGTCAGTCCCATGCAGAGGATGGCAAAGCTTCACCTGCCACAGTTGGCAGGTATCTCAACAAGGAGCCCGTTTAGTAACTCACTGTCTGGTGCCAAGGATGGCCGTGTTGGGTACCACAGAACCACTGTGGCCAGCAAGCTTACAGACACTGTCTGTTGTCAGAGCAGAGACAGTGTGGAGTTTACATCATCCTCATCACCACAAACTGCCCCGGCAGGAGCTCGGAGGGGACCCAGGTGCTGGTAGGGACTTTGGCACATTCGCAGGTGACAGCAGTGACGATGGTGGTGACGATAGTTGGGATAGTGACTCGGCCTCACAGCTGCGTCCATGTCTCGCAAAATCACGTGGTCTCTGTTGGTCTTCACAGTCCTGGAAATTGTCAAATTCTTGCGCTGTGGGGTGGAGATGGACAGGAGGCAAGGTCTAAAATTCACTTCTCTCTGAATGAATGGGTCCTCTCTTCCTTTGCTCAAGAAGGTTTTGTGATCATGCCAACAACCAGAGCTGCCCTCGCCTTCCTTCAAATTGCCAAAGCACTCAGGAATCTTCTGCCCTTAGAGTTTATCGTGGGGTCCTCTCTCCACGCCCTTGCTGATAGAGCTCTGGAGAGGGGCTTTGAGGAGTGTGTGTGACCATCCCCAGCATAGCTGCCCCCCCATCAACACTTATTGTAGGGAAGGAAAGAAGCCAAATAGGTCTTACCGTCCCATTTTATGAATGAGGAGATGGGCACAGAGAAGTTCAGCAACTGGCTCAGGTCAAATGCTTGTGATTTTTGTTTTTGTTGTTTATTTGCTTGTGATTTTTATGTCTTACACATTGCCTGGTGCTCTTCTGAAAAAATTCCACATTGGAAACTTTGCGACATGAAGCCATCTACCAATCGGGTCATATGTCTAGGGAGACACTATTGCTGTAGGTATCAAGAAGTTTTGCTCCAGAGAAATGGTCCAGTCCAATTCTGCTTCCCAAGTAGGCCAGGATGTCCACAGGACACCATGAAACAGTGACTCCCTCCTGCATTTTATTTATTTATTTTTGAGACAGGGTGCTGCTCTGTCACCCAGGCTGCAGTGGCTTAATCTCAGTTCACTGCAACCTCCACCTCCCAGGTTTAAGTGATTCTCCAGCCTCAGCCTCCCAAGTAGCTTGGACTACAGGCGTGAACCACCACGTCTGGCTAATTTTTGTATTTTTCATAGAGACGAGGTTTCACCGTATTGGCCAGGCTGGTCTTGAACTCAAGGTGATCCACCTACCTCAGCCTCTCAAAGTCCTGGGATTATAGGTGTGAGCTGCTGCACCCAGCCCTGCCTGCATTTTAAATGGCTGCAGCCACACACAACATGCTCTCCTTCTTTGCAAGCTCAGCTGGGGGAGTGGGTGAGGGAGGGACTCAGGGGTGGTGCTGTTGGTTCTTTTTACCTGGATTTTCTCACGCAGAGTAATTGTGAGAAGAACAGGGTTTCCTCCCCTGAACTCGGAGGAAATGGAAAAAAATTTCCCACTAGCAAAAGTAGGTAGAAAAGAAATTTTAGAAGTAAAATAAATTTTACTTCTTCACTAGACTTTTAAATTTACTTATTTATTTATTTATTATTCTATTATTATTATTATTTTTTGAGACAGAGTCTCACTCTGTTGCCCAGGCTGGAGTGCAGTGGTAAGATCTTGGCTCACTGCAACTTTCACCCCCCAGGCTCCAGCAATTCTCCTGCCTCAGCCTCCTGAGTAGCTGGGACTGCAGGTGCCCACCACCATGCCCAGCTAATGTTTGTATTTTTCGTAGAGACGAAGGTTTCACCATGTTGGCCAGGCTGGTCTCAAACTCCTGATCTCAGGTGATCCACCTGCCTTGGCCTCCCAAAGTACTGGGATTACTTGGGAGGCTGAGGCAGAAGAATCGCTTGAACCCAGGAGGTGGAGGTTGCAGTGAGCCGAGATTGCGCCACTGCACTCCAGCCTGGGCAACAAGAGCAAAACTCCATCTCAAAAAAAAAAAAACAAAACCAAAAAGACCTGAAGCCGGACTATGGGCCCAAAATGCCAGGGATGATATGAGGTCCTCAAAAAGGGTCCAGGAAATGCTGTATCTAAAGAGTCAGAGTTGTGGACCAAAAACATACCCATCCACCGCGTGTATACCCTGCACTTCCTGGCCCTCCATTCTTGGGGTTGCCTGGCCCTCCATGCTTGGGGTTGTATGATATGGTTTGGCTGTGTCCCCACCCAAATATCGTCTTGAATTCCCACATGTCATGGGAGGGACCTGGTGGGAGGTAATTGAATAACGAGGGTGGGTCTTTCCCATGCTGTTCTCGTGATAGTGAATAAGTATCTTGAGATCTGATGGTTTTATAAGGGGGTGTTTCCCTGCATAAGCTCTCTCTTTGCCTGAGCCATCCTTGTAATACGTGACTTGCTCCTCCTTACCTTCCACCATGACTGTGAGGCCTCCCCAGCCACGTGGAACTATAAGTCCATCAAACCTCTTTTTCTTCCCAGTCTCAGGTATGTCTTTATCAGCAGTCTCAAAATGGACTAATACCCTGTGTCACCCCTCACTCCTGCCCTGTCTGGATCTGGACAAGAGCCCACCACTCAGTTGGCAGTAGTCAGGCAGCTCTGCCCCTAAGAACCTGCAGCTTTTGGAGGAAAGGCACCCTGTGGTTTCAGAAGCCCAAGAGTCCCTGCAGCTTAGCACCTCCAGCCTGGTGCTTGGCAGATGATTGCCTTCAGGGCTGGAAGGCGGTTCTCTTAGGAGAGGGAGCAGGTGAGCACGTACGAAGGGCCGCTCTCAGATCCTTTCAAAGAGAAAGGGTGTCATGCAGATGCCAACAGGTTGATCATCAGAACCAGAGGGTGCTTTAACATGCAGATTCCCAGGCTCTGCCAAGATGATTCCCAAGGTGATTCCCGGGTAGGACTGCCAAGGTGCACAGTTTGGGTGAGAGCCACAGCTGATTGCCAGAAAGTTACGGCAGGAGGGGGAGACACTGACACCACGCCTTGCCTGGGACCCACCTGAGAGGCGAAGCACTTTTATGGCTTGGCAGTCTTGGAAGAAGGGGTTGGGAGGTCTGGCCTGCCTGGGAACCCTGGAGTTTCCATGCTTCTCTCATAGGACAAAAGCACCGAGTTTTTGTTTGTTTGTTTGCTTTTCTTTTTTTTTGAGACAGAGTTGCCTCTGTTGCCCAGGCTGGAGTGCAGTGATGCGATCTTGGCTCACTGCAAGCTCCGCCTCTGGGGTTCATGCCATTCTTCTGCCTCAGCCTCCCAAGTAGCTGGGGCTACAAGTGTCCACCACCACGCCCGGCTATTTTTTTGTATTTTTAGTAGAGACGGGGTTTCACCATGTTAGCCAGGATGGTCTCGATCTCCTGACCTCGTGATCTGCCCGCCTCGGCCTCCCAAAGTGCTGGGATTACAGGCTTGAGCCACCGCGCCCGGCCAGGCACAGAGTTTTATCAGCAAAGAGTAAACCAAAATGTATTCTCTGAACACAAAACTCCTGGCTGAGAGTTCCAGGCTGAAAGCCATTGTGCTGGGAGCCGTGGGTGCTGACGTCATCCCCCTCCCTGCCCGAAGGCTCCTCTTCCAGGGTCTGAACCAGACAGCCAGGAAAAGGGGTGTTCGGAGTGCTGGGCCTTCAAGGTGCCCTCGGTCTCTTTGGTAGAAAACAAGGAAGCAATGTCCTTGAGTGGGGGTACTGCTGTCCTCCTGGGAGGGGAGGAAGAGACTGACTGGCAGCCACATGTGGCATGGGGAGTGCAGTCCAGGCAGAGGGTGGTGGCTCCTCAAATACCCACTGTTGGTTTCCTGCATATCTAAGGGGGTGTGTGACTCAGGGGTCCTTCCTGTTGTCTATGGTGTCTTTACATTAACCACCTGAGGGGAAATTTTAATTTGTAATACATCTGTGTTATGGTAGAAGCTCAACCGCTCCAGTGGCTATAAAAATTAATTCCTTATCCTAAACATTATTACATAGCTTTTGAAATGAATCGACTTGTGGTTGGGTTCTTGGTTTGGGCCATTATTTGCAATTAGTATAATCAAATAGCATCATCCGTAATACTTCCCCTCCTATCCCCAGCCTTCCCCAGGCCCCACCCCTTGATCTTGTTGGGAAATGGATTCTATGAAGTCATCAGAATTGTCAATGGCATATGGTGGGTGGAGACTGCCTGCTGATTTTGATGGCTGAGAAAGAGGTTTTCTTTCCATTCTCGAATAGTCAATTTCGCTCACTGTTGTGGTTTGTTTCTTTCAGAAAACTGTGTGTTCTTCAGAACATCATGATAACCTGGCATTCATGGGTCTATGGAGACAATTCAGGGGGTCTGGGAGCTTGGATGGGATAAATTTCCATCTTTATTTTCAGGAAACTTTTACTGAAGTTTTGCATTTCTTTAATTATAAATGGAATCAGTACAACCCAATAGTACGCACAGACAGTGACTTCTCCACTGCATTAAAGTGGCTGCAGATATCTCAAAATATTATTTACATTTATTATAACTTAGAAATTTGGGTGGTAATTAAACCAGCAACTATTCTTTGTTTAATGCATTAAGAAAGAAGTATGTATACTATCATATCTCAACTAAAAATATTTTAAGAACTGGATTTTAACTTTATTGGTTTCCTTTGTAACTCTCTGTATTTCATTTTAGGCATTTAAAAATGTTATTCTGAGAAGGGCTTCAGCAGATGTCAGAGGTGTCCATGGCAGAGCCATGATTAAGATCCACTGGTGTAGACTAGAGCAAGTGTGTGCATCCGAGGTTGGTATGAAAGTTGTGTTTGTGTTCAAATCCCAGTCTCCCATCTCATAGCTGCGCAAGTTGTGTCCTGATCCATCACTTTATTATTATTATTTTTCTTGGGATGGAGTCTTGCTCTGTTGCCCAGGCTGGAGTTCTGTGGCACGATCTCGGCTCACTGCAACCTCCACCTTCCGGGTTCAAGCAATTCTCCTTCCTCAGCCTCCTGGATAGCTGGGATTACAGGCACGAGCCACCGTGCCCAGCTAATTTTTTTGTATTTTTAGTAGAGATGGGGTTTCACCGTGTTGGCCAGGCTGGTCTCAAAACTCCTGACCACAAGTGATCCACCTGCCTCGGCCTCCCAAAGTGCTGGGATTACAGGTGTGAGCCATTACGCCCAGCCTCATCACTTTAAATTGGGAATAATAGTCACCATACAAGGGTATTGGGAATGATTAAAAGTGTTAGTACCAAAGGAATAATTCTAGGACCTAACCTCATAGGGTTGCAGGAGCACTGAATGAGATAATCCATGAGGTTAGGTCCTAGCATCATTCCTGTTTTACAGATGGGGAAGTTGAGGTTTATTTCAAGTAAGTGCCCAAGGTCACATAGCTAGGAAGTGGCAGAACTAGGATTTGAGCCCCAGCCATTGGGCAGCAGATCCCATCCCAGATCCTATATTGGCCTCCAAAAAGTCAAGCACCCCTGGGTCAGTGGAAGTTGCAATCTGGGTCATACAGAGTCCGGAGGCCAGTCTCCAATTTCTAGGCTTTTAGAGCCCTCATTTGACCTTGAGCTGTAACAAAGTGCTCACAAACATGTGCCAGTAACTTCCCACAATGAAGGACAGTTGTGTGGGTCTATGGTGGGGTGATGTGTTGCTTCTTACTGAATGTGAAATAAAGCTTAGGAACACTGGATCCGTGTGCTTCAGGAGTGGTGGGGATTGCCCTGGTTGAGTGACTGGAGCATTAAGTGAGATGGGATCTTTGGTGTCATCCTATGATGACAGTGACAGTGGCAGTGATGATGATGATGACAATCACCCTCTTCTTTTTCTTCTTCCCCTTCTTCCCCTTCTTCCCTTCCTTCCCCTCCTTCCCCTCCTTCCCCTTCCTCTTCTCCTTCTCCTCCTCCTCCTTCTCCTTCTTCTTCTTCTTCGAAAGTCTCTCTCTGTCACCCAGGCTGGAGTGCAGTGGCACGATCTCGTCTCACTGCAACCTCCGCCTCCCAGGTTCAAACAATTCTCCTGCCTCAGCCTCCTAAGTAGCTGGGACTACAGTCGTCCGCCACCACGCCCAATTAATCTTTGTATTTTTAGCAGAGATGGGTTTCACCTTATTGGACAGGCTGGTCTCAACCTCCTGATCTCAGGTGATACACCTGCCTTGGCTTCCCAAAGTGCTGGGATTACAGGTGTGAGCCACTGCACCCAGCCAACAATCACTTTCATGCAGCATGCCCTTTGAGTGCCTACCGTGTATCAGGTCCTGATGCTGCCCTTGAGGAGTTGACAGTTGGGGGGAAAGGACGAGGAATATGCTGTCTTACCCCATCACAAAACAAGGGAGAAAATAATGAATGTCACAAGACAGGTGCCAGCAGCAGGTGATGGGAGTCCTGCCACTGCCTTGCTCCGGTGGGCCCTGTGAGGATGCACTGGATGAATTCGCTACTGCAGCAGTGCTTCCGCCTTCCAGAGGGACCATCGGAGCCAGCCCCGCGTTGCAGGAACCTGACAACCCTGAGGTCCAGCCTCCCACGACGCCCAGCCCAGCTCAGTCCACTGTGTCCTCTTTGGCCTCTTCCTGTCCTCCTTTCTCGGTTGTTCTCAGCCGAGCCACAGGACTGGAAGTTTTGTCGCTTTCTCTAAGGACTTGCCTGTCAGGGGGAGTTAGTTCGAGGGGAACGGGGAGTGAAGACTCGAATTTCAGGTAAAAATCTCCAGGCTCTGAGGAGACTGGGTCTGACAGCCAGTGCTGGCCTCGGGGACCCTGATGGAGACGTTCACACAGGTGCCGACTGCAGGACGACGCTGCCGAGGAGGCACCTGCTGGGGCCAATTAGAATTCCTCGTTCTGGGCTGGGTTCATTTGCATAAACTCTGGGCCCCCAGGAAAAATCTTCCACTAGGCCTCCTCCTCTTTGTTAATTGAAAAAGGCTCTTTGTCTGTCTTCAGCTGTCAGCTCACATGCGGCCTCCCCAGGCAAGTTTTTACCAGCTCCTCAGACCAGGCAGGTTGCCCCTGCTATCTCTGCGTCTCCTCCCCACACCTCAGCTCACCCACTTGGAATTATTTGTGGAGTGTTTCCTTCCAGCTCCAGTGCCACAAGGACAGGGACCTTGTCTCTTCCTGTGGTGGTTGTTTTTATCATCACCTAATCCATATCTACTGCAGGGCAGGGGTTGTTTACTCAATGAATGAATGCATTTCCTTGTAGGACGCCTGGCTGCCTGGAGTGAGCCACGCTCCTTACAAAGACCAGGCAACTACGTTGAAGAAATGCTGATATTTATTAAGAAACACTCTTCCAACCATTTTTAATTTTGGGGGATATTAAAGTATTTATTAGGCTGGGTGTGGTGGTTCACGCCTGTAATCCCAGCACTTTGGGAGGCTCAGGCAGGCGGATCACTTGTGGTCAGCAGTTTGAGACCAGCCTGGCCAACATGGTAAAACCCTGTCTCTACTAAAAATACAAAAATTAGCCGGGCGTGGTGGCTCGTGCCTGTAGTCCCAGCTACTTGGGAGGCTGAGGAGGAGAATCGCTTGAACGTGGGAAGGGGAGGTTGCAGTGAGCTGAGACTGAGCCACTGCACTCCAGCCTGGGTGACAGAGCAAGACTCTGTCTCAAAATAAAATAAAATAAAATAAAATAAAATAAAATAAGATGTATTAGACAAAAACTGAGAGTTCTTACTTTAAATTGATTTGGAATTTTGGGTACACATATACTTTTGTATAAAATAAATTGAAAGTGAATCATCGAAGAAATATTACGTTATATAAATATTAACTTGTTTGAAGTACTTATTAAAAAACAAAAAAAAAACAAAGGCCAGGCATGGCCCCGTCCGCAGAGAGCTGGTCAGCCCGCATTTTCTCCATCTCTTACCCCGGCTGCCTCTCCTCTGGTTTCTGAGCCTCCCCACCCCCACTTAAGGAGCTTACAGCTGAGCGAGAGAGATAAGATGTAAGTGTATGGAAAGATTATTTTTTATTTTTGGAAAGTTGAACATTTTAAGCCAGTACCCCATGAGGCTGTGGGATTAGGCTGGAGGTAGAACTTGCTTATCCCATTTGGAATTGCTGAAGCTTCCCAGAAAGGCTTACTTCTTCCTCTTTTTTTATTTTTAAAATTCTGCAGAAATTCTTCCATGCCAAGGCTGGCCTTGGGAGAAGAGTGGATGTCAAAATGTCAATGATGGATTGGAACGATGGGTGGGAAAGAGAGCCAGGGGGAGCTTTTGAGATAACATCAGAGGAACTGGCGTTCGAGGGCTTGGTGGATGATTTCGAGAACTGGCTAATGCATTTGGTCAGAAGACGGCTGGTGATGGGCTGTGTTCCTATCCTGGCTCCCGTTTCTAAAAAACAGCAGGCACCCAACCGGCTCTCAGTGTCCCTTTGTCCCAGGGAGCTTGGCAGAAGAAGCCAGGACGTCTCACAAGGAGCAGATGGCCCTCAAAGCTGGAGGACCATCAAGAAAGAGCCTCCCTGGTGAGGAGAACTTAGGTTACTGACGTGGGAACTCAAAAACTCTTGCTTCTGTGTACCCAGGGGTTCCTTTTCATCTCCGCAGGAATCCTAAGTATTTCAGGGACCCGGGGCAGTTGCACAGAGTGGCCATCGGGTGTCAGTGTGGAATTAGAAGCTCTGCCTCTGTTGCTTCGCTCAGCTGCTCTGCTTTGAGTTAGATGCTCCTGGAAGCTGGGCCCGCAGCCCCATGCAGGCTGGGAATGGGGATGGAGCCGCGAGGGTTCTCCCTTAATTTAATGGCCCCGTCCACTGAGCTGAGAACATGGCTATGATCCTCAGCTTGGGCAGTTCCTATTGTATTGAGGCTTTGGAGTGCTTATGAGCTGGGCTGAGTCACGCTGATAAAAAGTTAATTTCTATTTGCTGTGGCTGAGTAATTGGATGAACATGAAAGCAATTAAATATTAAAACATACAAACAAATAACTAAGTCACTGTAATTAGCCAAAGTTTGATCACTGTCATATTTATTTAGGAAGAGGTGATATGTCTCAGCAGGTGACATTTTAAATACCCCGGGCCTCTCTGGTGTTGTCTTTGGAGAATGCTGAATAATGTACAGAGAATTTAATTAAACCCTGTTGTAAATCAGCCATGATGACAGGGAAATGACAGCCACATGTTGAAATGAGAATTAGTCCACAGCAAGGGATATTAATTAACTCTTTTTCTGAAGGCCTCTGGCACAGAGTGGCATTAAAAAAAAAAAAAGCCAGTGCTTTGACGTGGGGAGGGCATTGTGCCTATTATTATTTTTATAATCATCATTATTATTTATGGCTTGAATTTCTTCAATGGCCAAAGTGCAGCTAATAATCAAGATGCCATACAATGAGATTAAACAATTCTTTCTCCAGGTGCTTTGAGACCCAGGTAGAAAATAGCGCCATAAAAGGATGCCAGGGAATGAGAGAGTCTCTTTGGAAAACACCAGCATTTTTATAAGCAGCATATTATTCTCTTCCAGATTTGGACTTGGAGAGAATAGGTAGAGTGGTATTAGGAATGAAAGAACAGACCGCAGAGCTGGGAGAGACCACGGAAATCACATAGCCCAATCCCGCTCACTTTACAGAAGAGGAAACAAGGCTCATGGAGATGCA